GAGACTATAATAATTGAGATCAAGAATATTCTTATATTTATACAAAATACAAATTATGAGTTAAATTAATTACATGTTCAGAGTATGACATAGACCAGAATCGAATGACCAAATGAAAAAGAAAGTAAAGAAAGTAATGCCAGATGACATCAAGAATGTCAAGATCAAGAATATCCTTGCAATTATACAAATAAAATTATGAGTTGCATTAATAACATAGAGTAAGGACAAGGGCAAGAACCGAATGACCTAATGAAAGTGAAAGTAATGCCAGATGGGTATACTAAACAAAATCATGTCAGCTGTTAGGTGGTATAGAAAAGATTGTAATGAAATTTAAAGAACAGAGAAAATTTCCTGACGAAGAAGAGTGAGAAGCTTTGAAATATTTCCAGAAACAATTTCGTCTTTGACATGTGAGGGAAGACTCTCCCAAATAATGGGAAATCTGTGAACTGCAGTTTGGTGAAGACGTTCGGTTCTTGCCCTGAGGTGTTGGAATAAAATGGTATGTTCACTCTGGCGTGGTCTTATGGCTACATTCTCATTCACTGCTTCACACCACACGATACCGTAGAGAGTTTTAATTACGAAGGAAATCAAGAGATATTTCCTTCTTGATTCCAGGGTAAACCATGCAAGGTTTTGGAGACGTTGTGGATAAGGCATTTCTTGACGCCTTTGTTTCAAAATCAGTCGTGTTGCCCTCCTCTGAACTCGTTCCAAGGCTTCCACATGTTTTCTTGTGTAAACATACCAGGATGGAACTCCATATTCCAAGATAGGCAACACGAGTGATTTGTACAAACATAACAATGCCTGCTGGGACACGCCCCTCCCCAACCTAGAAATGAGACCAAGCATTCTGTTTGCCTTCTTAATTACATTATTAACTTGATCATCCCATGTCAGGCTGGAATTGAGGGTAATTCCAAGGTACTTGATTGAATTCACTTGTTCAATTGTGTTATCATCAATGGTGTACTTTGTCTTTTCAACATTTCTCTTACGAGGGGCAATTCTGAGAACTTTGGTTTTCGTAGCATTAAGTTGCATTTTGTTAATGCTGCACCAGTTTATGACATGAGTAATGTCTGCTTGGAGCATTTGCATATCAGTCTCATTTCTAATTATGCGGTACAGAAGCGTGTCGTCAGCAAAAAGCACACATTTCGATTGGACTACATGGGTGATATCATTAACGAACAAATTGAATAGCCGTGGTCCTAATACACTTCCCTGAGGTATTCCCGAGGTCACTATTGACCAATCAGACCGTGATCCTCGGAACTGGACAGTTTGTTCCCTCCCACAAACAAAAGAACTAACCCATTCCCAAACATTACTTTGAATGTTATATTTCTTAGCTAATTTATTGAGGAGAAGATCATGGGGCATGCGATCAAACGCTTTGCTAAAATCCAAGAAAATAGCATCAATTAGAGGGGTGGGTGTTACATCAAGGGACGAAAACCAGTCATGTGTGATGTTGAGTACTTGTGTAACACATGATCGTTTAGGTGTGAATCCGTGTTGTTTGGGGGAAAGTAGACCATATGACTCAACATGTGCTACAATACATTTGTCAACAAAGGTTTCCATCATTTTGCAAACAACAGAAGTGAGCGCAACTGGGCGATAATTGCGAAAATCAGAGGGATTGCCAGATTTATGAACAGGGATGACAATCGATTGTTTCCATTGTTTGGGTAGTTGACCTAGTGAAAGTGAAATTTGGAACATGCGTTGTAATACTATGGATATGGGCTCTTTCACTTTTTTGAGGATAACAGCATTAATCCCATCAATTCCGGGTGATTTATTCAATGACAAGTTATCAATGAGCTTCACAATTTCACATGTAGGGAAATCAAGGGTATTCAATGGAGCAATAGGAAAGTCACAAGCACTGGGCAATTCGGGAACATTATCAGGGTCAGATTGATTAAAAACTGAAACAAAATAATCAGAAAAACAATTAGCAATCTCCTCGGGCTTGTTCAGTACATTATCTTGATCAGAAATTATAGGTGGAGTTGGGTTGCGTCTCAGAGAGCGCATATATCCAAAGAATCGCTTCCTGTTATCATGCATAGAGAAAAGACCATTCAAATAACGCCAATAAGACTTGTTAGATTCTTGCTTGGCATGATTGCGAGCTCTTTTGTACTTGTCCCACCATTCATTCTTTACGTCTTCCTCGTCTTCAAAATGAGATTTGGCTGAAACAAAAAGCTTCTTAGCCTTATTAGTTAGCCGTTTTATTTGCGGGGTTACCCATGGACAGAATTGTTTCTTGTTTTGAACTTTATGCGGTATACAGTCATTGATAGCGGCTTGATACAAATCCAAAAATCCTTCCCAGCTTTCATCTACATCATTGTGATTCATGAATAGGTCCCAGGGAGCAAGCCTAAGGAGATTGTTAAGATGCTCATAGTCCCCCTTTTGGTAGCACAAGAACTTCCGTATGATTGATTTGGGTAATTGAGGTGTAACAGTATGGAATGTGATCAATACTGCATGGTGATCACTAATTACACAATTTGAAGTAACATTAATACTTTGACAGAGCTCAGGACGGTTCACAAAAACAAGATCAATAATTGAGCCTTTACTTGGGTCATCAAGTTGTGGCCTAGTTACATCAGTAACACACTGGGTCATATTCATTGTTTCAAATATCTGAAGAAGTCTATCCCTATTTCTACAGTTTTCATCTTTCCAATTCACATTAAAGTCTCCGACGAAGACTATACCTTGATATTTTCTACTCAAATTTTGCACACTATCGACTACTGTTTCTAGTTTATCAAAGAACTCAGCCTTTGAATTGGGAGGTCTGTACACTGAGCAAACAATCCATTTCATTTTCTTCTTTAGAGTTATTTCACAAATGACCATCTCAATATCAGGTGTCTCAAGATCCGGTAGACGTTGCGGGAGGAGATATGATCGAACCGAGATAAGAACACCTCCACCTCTTGTGTTTGCTCTGTCATTACGGAAAATACAATAGTCATCAGGAAGCCCTAACTCACAAGAATTGAAATCATCGTCTAGCCAAGTTTCACTAATTGAAATTACGTCAACCGGGTTGGTCTGCAAGTAAGATTGTAAAGAGACAGTTTTATTCCTAATACTTCTGGCATTGAAAGAGTAAAGTTGAATATTCTGCTTTACTGTTTCACTATGAGGAAGGGAATGATTAAACTGGTCATGAGGTTGGGCTTGGGAAGGGGGTTCAATACCTAAAGATGCAGTTTCCGGGGTGTCGGGCGAAGCAGCAGGAACGAGTTGAGGTCCATCCATAGATCCAACAGGACTGGGTGGTGGCGGTGGTGGCTCAACGAGAGAGGGCAGTATTTCAGCCTGACTTGGTAGTAGCTCATCACGAGAGGGCAGCCAATCAGCATGACGACGTCTCCCTCTGTGGGTTCTGCGTCTCCTAGCGATGCCCAGGTCATCGATGATATTCCATATCTGTCTTGTAGGTTGTATCAATGATGAAGATGTATCGAGTTTCAATAAGTCATCCACACTATATTTGTAGCATATTTCATTGTTACCAGTTGCACGTTGGGTTGTGCAATTGGAGCTTGGTGGGTGGGTGGCACCACTTTCTGGCACAATTGGTCCCGGATTTGGATTTATGTCACCTGCTTGTAGTAACGTAGATCTGAAACTTGCGACTGAATTAGAGTAATAGTTGACTCTAACTCCAACATACTTGACTGTGCCTTCATTACCTTTAACAGTACAAGGGCAATTCCTCGTTGTTAAGTTGGGAATGTATTCACGCTGTGCAGTAAGGCCAATCCACATACAAAAGATTAGGAGGATTAGAGACTTTCCCTCCATTGTCAAGTGGGATGCTTCTCCCTAAACAAAGGATAATCACTTAAGATCCAGTGAATAGCCTAGTACCAACATGGTAGAGTACTACATGTAGAACATGGCAGTCTGCTTGTAGAACATATGAAAGTTTGAAAGAGATACTGCAGAATTCACTCACAAAAGTCACAAATATAACTCCAAATTTGTCCAGGTAAGTCAGTGGTATATACTCCAACACATGACAGAACATATATGTCGCCAATACAGTTACACCAATAAAAAGAGGGTAAAGATCGGAGAGAGGTTTGAGGGGCCACCTGACGCGCACACACTCTTCACGATTTAACGATCGACGTCCTGGGGAGGGGTCTAAAAAAGTCACAACCGTGCCCCCCGTGCCCCTCCCCCCGTGGCTGTGGGCCTGCTTATACTACATGAATACCATGTGACACAGCTATATTGGGCATTGGGGCTAATCCCCCCCCCCCTTCCGACGGGGGGGGGGGTACTCACATATTAGGAGATACGGGGGTGTGCAGCTCTATTTGGGTAACTTTTCACACAAAATCCCTAAACATGGGTCCCACTTTTAACAAAAATACCGTTTTTTGCAAACATCCGAAAATTGTGAAAATGACCTGAATGACCCCAAATAATGTGTATAGAATTCGAGGCTTGAGGGGGGTTTTCCTCCAAAATACACACATAAAAAAGGGGGGGGTTAAACCCCAAACCTCCACCCTCCCCCTTCACTGCGTACACGCCTGACTACTAGGCCTACTACTACTACTACAAGTACTGCTAATAGTAATAATAATAATACCAGAAATAATAATAACGATGATATTAATATTGATATGATGATAATAATAATATTCCTCCAAAATAGACACATAAAATTTTTAAAAGGCGGGAGTTTAACCCCCCCCCCCCCCCCCCCCCCCCTGCGTACACGCCTGACTACTACTACTATACTACTGCTAATAGTAATAATAATAATATGAGAAATAATAATAACAATGATAATAATATTGATATGATGATAATAATAACTTTTTTTTCTTCCTATTACTATTTTTCCTCTTTTTATGTCTTCCTCTTGTATGTTGGTACCCTCTTTTTCTCTTTCTTTCTCACCTCATTCTATAGTTGTTTCTTTCCTTTCGTTCTCTCTCTTGCTCTTTTTTTCTTTTTTTTTCTTTTGTCGGATACCATATATTATACGAAAATCGCATGAAAACGGGAAAGTTAGCATCAATAAACTTCTAAACTCCCTGCTCACGTTAGGTGCCAGGTTTTACAGAATAGAAAAATGGAGTCGAGGGGGTGCCAAGATCTTAATCTGTCACATGGTATGTAAATTTAAAGTCTGTAAGACAATTTTTAGTGCAAGAAGAGGCATGTCGAGATTCGACGGTTGCACCGAGCTCCGCCACGCAGCAGACCCTCTATCGCGCCAGGCCTCCTCTGGTCGTCCCGGCGCGCCGTGCGGGCGCCGTGTAACTGTAAGGTGTCATTTCTTGGATCTTGGATTAATGTCCTCCTAAATACTCCGAAGAAGAGTTTTGAAAAACCTGTAAATTCAGTGGACATTGTAATTTAACGCAGAGACACAAAGTATTGCACAGATATATATAGTAGTGAGTGTAAATGGAGTGTGATATTTGAATTTATATAGCTTAGATCTATTTAAATTAGAGTCTACTGTCTAGGCTAGACAGCAATAACCATCTGATTTGGGTCATTTCTTTAATAAAACTGACATTTGTTGTCATTCCCCAATACAGATGGCAACCCAGAGATCTCGTACCGTGGGGGTAGCTATAGCCAACAATGGCAGCTTTTTATGTCAAAACATTTTCTCCCCGATTTTCTTTATTTAGATCTAATTTTCTGATTTCTAAATCAGATGTAAATTAGGTCGGTATGTCATTTGTCCTAATTACAGTTATCAAAATTTGATAACTTAATATTAAATGTATAATTTACGGACTTACTTATATGAATTATCCAATTTGTATTTCCGAACTTCGAAATATTACCCGGCGGCCGATATATTTCCGGGTCCACCTACCAAAACATAGCCAAATGGCCAATCAGAGCACTCGTTTCGTGGGAGTTCGTTGGTCAAGCTGGGCCGACTTGTACGTAGCTACGGTAGCTATTGGACGTTCGAAAAGAAAAAATGAATATTCATCAACTAAAACCAAGACGGATAATGTTGACGACGAGACTTTCTCGGATTAATCATTAATTTAGGATCTAAATGAGCAAGCTATCGTAAGTCAAATAAGCTATATATATGTTATTTTTAATTAGACTCTAAATTATTGTCATATTGCAGCATGTATGAGGATGTAAAGAGTGAAAATCTCGTTGCATATCTCATTCATCGCGGTCCGGTCGAACCGAACCATTTGTTCCGTACAGTGCCTCACAGAAAGAGGTCCCCAGACTTCAGTCTCTATAATCGGAGGTCTAGTGGAGCCAGACGTAGTCTCAGTGGAACAACCGACGATTAGAGAGACTGAAGCTTTCGGTCTAAGTCTAGGCCTACTTTAAAAAGAAGGAAACCAAGATTGGTTTTAAGAGTAAGACTAAGATTAAGAATTAATTTCACCATTCATGAAATTTGGCTTGCAAAAAGTAGGTCACTGCTATAGTATTAGGGTCATTCACATAATGAAGTGTCTTGAGGACCTGATATTTGGTTTGTAAACATACTGCATGCATGTTGAACTTTGGTTGCTCATATGAACAAAGAAATTGGTTTAGAGGTCTATTTGGAGAAAGTAAATATGAAGGTCTAGACCTACGTATATAATATGCAAGTGTATGAATTAAAAGGTTGAGTCTTGGCCTATTAAAGAATGCCATGATATTTGTATATGTTCATAAAAGAAAACACTTAATAAGTGCGCTTATGTTGTATGCTTTTCTAAAGAATAATTTGGTCATTTCTTTAGTTGTATCAAAAGAAAGGAGATTTACAAGTTTGATAAATTCTCATTTTGGCCGAGTTGAAAAACAGCAACAGTTATTTAGCAAGGTAGATTGAATGCAAAAGAAGTCAAATTTGCTTCTGCACATATTTATTTAGGTCAGTTGTGAATGTCACTTTGGCAGGTGTATGTGACAAGTTATTGGATTAAGGCGATACATGTATGTGCACATGCTTGTGCTCTGAACATCGCAGAGTTACTTTTTGGTTGGATTTTTGGCAAGAAATACAGTGAACCATTCAATGAAATTTTTGTCGATTTTTCCCTGGAAGAGAACTAAGACTAGCAATTTTTGTTGATTTTTCCCTGGAAGAGAACTAAGACTAGAGAACCAGTCCTGAAATAAACTGGAACTTGAAGTTCTTGTCCACGAAAGAATTGACAACAGTCCTAGACTCCTATTCAGGAATTGCCCATACAGGTGTTACAATAAATCTCATTGCTACCATGTTAACCTGTAAAGGACACTACCATATTTTTATCTTGTTCTTTTTTGGGAATGTAGTTTCAGCCGACATCTTGTGTGAATTTCTGGAAGTAGCAGTTCATCAGATCCTGTACATCAGAGAGCTCTATCCCCTTGGGATCTTTGAGAGGAAACAGAAGTACAATGTCCCTGTTCAGGTATCATTCACTTGATTGTAAACAAATAAATATTGTTGATTGTTAAAGGCCCACTGTACTACTTGTAGCTATACCTGCTCCCTCTATATAGAAAACAATGCCTAATAGATGACCATTGGTCCCCCATGATCCTCTTTTTCTTATGTTAATTGAGAGCTGAGTTGATGAGATAGCCACCTGTCAGTGACCTTCATGGGTGGTCTTATCACTCCTAGCCAAACTAGTACAGACGGCCTTTAATTCTTTGTGTGGCTGTTTTACAGTATCCCTGTGCCTGTGCCACATATATTTTGTTGAGATTTTTTTTTCTTTTTCAAAAGGCTTCAAGGTTTTTTTAAACACTCTGAATAAAACTTTATTATTCAGTTTACCAAATATTTTTTATGTTATCAAAAAAGGACTAGAAATAAGATATCATGTAAAGAGATATTTGGCCATTATTCAGATAGTGGCTACCTATCATTTGTGCCAATGAGCACTTGAAGCATACCAGCAGTGTCATTATCACTTGCAGGAAATAAAAGGTTGATTTGTCAGTATAAAGTGAAGAAGAAAAAAATATGTGAACAGAATTAATTATAATTAAATTGAAAAAGGGAGGGGGTGACTTTTGCCAGTAATCTGATGTTTTCTCTGGCAATTATTTTTCCTGGGCTTCATTTCTCCTGCTTTACCTTGATTTACCTTGATATCCTCCTGTCTATATACCTTCTCTTCTTAAAAGCCCTTCAGTCTGATATGCATTTTCCTCATGAGTGAAGGGAAATCCAACCCTTGTGATAAGTTCAATTGTATAAAAACAGAAAATAAGAGAAACAGATTGGCAAAATCGGACCAATAATAAGAAATTTAAAATACCCGCTTTGAGATCACTAAGTCTACGCGAATCTCAAATTGGCAGTTTAATCATTGGATTGAGACATAGTCGGGATAACTCTTTGAGTTTGTCACATACAAAAACACTATTAATTTATGATTTTCTCCCAAGTGCCTTCTCCCTTGGAGCACTACTCTAAATATATTACGGATAGCATATTATTATAATAGGTCCTCTGAAGAGAGTAGATCCTCCTTAGTCATGTTGGAACAAATGGGAAAGTAATGTCTGCCATTACATCACAAAGAAATTACCTATTCAGCCAATTTGCAGAGCCCATACCTGCAGTGATTCAAACTTTCCATTTCCAATATTCATAACTTTTTCATATTTTGTCTGATCTCATTCAAACTTTCACCAGTCTACTTCTCTCATTTTTCTGCTTTCCTGTAGAGTAGTTTGCTATCAAGATTTCCACGATGACATCAAATGTCTACTTTATAAGTCAACTGGACTTATATAAGTCAACAGGGGGGTGTTTAATAAAGCTGTTCGTAAGTTACGCATGACTTTACGAACGACTTGAATATGAAGTGCCAGATAGGATGCCTTAAGTTTTTCCAGATGTTTTAACAAAGTGACTATATTTCCAGTAAACTCAATTAAATGAAGGCAAAAAATACACTTTGCATTAAAAAAGGTTTGTTATAATAAGAATGTTAATCTACATCTGCACAGTTGAACTTTAGTTGATGCAATCAAAAAGGATTGAGCATCCCATTTGGCTTTCCATATTTAAGTCGTTCGTAAAGTCATGCGTAACTTACGAACAGCTTTATGAAACACCCCCCTGGACTTCTTTTTGTTTTAGCTTGCAATGATTCACATTCCCTCCCCTCCGGGAGGCGTCATTAGACCAACTGATCTTTGGCAGCAAATAGTTGTTGGTCCTTGACGTGGTTGGGGAACCTTGGGAAATGAGGGATTTTCCGCCCTGCCGAATTGTAAGCTCCGGCTAAGTTGTGTGATGTCGGTGTTGGTACACGCGGTTGGCTAATTTTCGTTTCTTTATGATGATAACCGGTAGAAGGTGTCTATTCACACCTGCCTGTACAATCATATCCTCATTTGATGCACTATCAGTCAATAATACCTGAAGTATTCTTGTCATAAACGTTTGCTCTACTTATGCGTTATTTCCCAGATATCTCGGCATCCAGAGCTAAACCAGTACATTACAGACGCCGTCATGGGTATCAAACCACATGTCATCAAGGTAGGGCAATTGCATTAGGCCTATAAAAAAAAGTTGTTGTATTGCCCTTTAGATGCCAAAACATGGGTAGGTTGATCAGAAATCTTCTTCTTTTTTTTTCTTCTTTTTTTTTCTTTTTTTTTTCTTCCCCTCTTGGCAGATATTTCTCAGTTTTGAATGCTTTAATATTTTTTTCTCTAAATAAACAGTAAAAAAATGATAATAAGAAAAATGTAGATTTTAAGATTTTGGGGTCAGTCGCAAAGGGCAATACAACATCTTTTTAACCCCTTATGCGCAGTGGGTGTCAAATCCCACGTTATATTTTGAATGTAGAGCAGTGTCTCCAGACTATGAATTGATTCCTGTGACCATTGCTCAGAGTTTTTTCCTCTGAAAGATATAGAGTTCGGTATAGTGTCTGGTTCAGGATTGAAGTTAGGAATTTCATTCGGTGTGAGTAGAGCTTGGAGCAGGGGGGTGTTTCACAAAGCCTTTTTTCAATGACAAAATCTAGTGACAAATCTGCTGATAACCAATCAGAAGCAAGGATTTCAGTAGCTTATAACATTTGTCACTGATGACAAGTTTTGTGAAACACCCCCCTGTTGTCACCAGTGAAAGCGCTGAAGCACAATCACACAGATACCGCTAATGTGACATTTGTTAGAACAGAAGATAAGTCCAAGCTTAGCTCTTAGTCGTGGGGAAAATCAGTTGAAATTTACGACTCTAAATGTACCTCAAAAATGAACCTGAAAAGTACCCTCTTAAGAAATATAAGCTGCAACAATGCAGGCTTTGTTTACCTTTATTTTTAAACCATTGATTCCTGGAACCAGGTGGTCCCTGTATGTAAAGCTATGGGAATGAGATAATTCAGCAGTCCACATGTTAATATGCATGCATACCAAGTAAGCATACAAAGTAATGCTATGAATGAAGGATATTCCACACATATTATATCTACAAGGAAAGAAAAAACTTGAACTTTCACTTCTGTAATGATTGATTTGTTGTAGAATGAATGCTGGTACTAATTTGTTTTCTCCAATTTTTTATCAGTGTAAGATATTCCGCACATATATATCTATTGGGAAAGACAAATCTTAATCTTTCAATTCTGTAATGATTGATTTGATATAGAATGAACGCTGGTACTAATTTGTTTTCTCCAATTTTTTATCAGTGTAAGATATTCCGCACATATATATCTATTGGGATCAAAAAAATCTTGAACTTTCAATTCTGTAATGAATGATTTGTCCTAGAATGAAGCAGGGGAATTGTCCTAGAATGAAGCTTTGTTTCACAAAGATCCTAAGTCGAACTTAACTCTAAGTTGGACTTAAAATTTATGGAGAGCCATTTGTAGGCTTAAAATAAATATATTAAAAAAGCGAAAATTCAAGTATTTTTGACTTTTTATAAATCTCCTTGATATTAAAAAATATATGAATGATTTGAATCAACATTTATGCCTTTTTGAAAATAACTTTTACAACATATTTTCATAGATGCTAACGGCTTTCCATAATTGTTAAGTCCAACTTAGAAATAAGTTCAACTTAAGATCTTTGTGAAACACCCCCTGGTACTAATTTGTCTTCTCCAATTTCATCTCACAGGATGAAGTCCAATGTGTTACTGTCGTTATTCTGAATGCCAAACACATTCCAGTAGAAAGATTTGTCTTTGAAATTGCCAGACCATCAACAAACAAAATTGATAGGTATGTTGTTCATCCCGTTTTTTCTTTCCTCTTTATCTTCAGTTTGTTCTTCCGAGCAGTATTTTCTTTTCTATTTTATCTCTGTTGATTTCTCATTTCTGTTTGTGTATATCCTCCTTGAGTCTTTTCAAAGAGTTTTTTTTTTTTTATATATATGTAGATCTTTTAAGTGGCCCAAACATGGGGAGCAGTGTACACAGCACTTTGAAGCTGCAAAAAAAATGTACCATATCAAATAACTTTTGGATGTGATTTGATTGATTGTAACTGACATTTTTGCTTGTAAATTGCTTGACTTTCATTGGAAAATGGGACAGGCATATCTTTGTCTGTTTCTTTTTTTTTTTGGTTGATGCATTGATTTAAGTCAATGTGATGTCAGTGTTTCTACATTTGAGAACCATCCATTATGCTGTACCATGTTTTTTTTTTAAGTGTTCCCTTTCATTTGTGTATGTTTTTATCTTACTCCTGGGGGGCGTTTCACAAAACTTGTCATCAATGACAAATAAACAAATTTTGTTATATGCTACTGAAATCCTTGCTTCTGATTGGTTATCAGCAGATTTGTTATTGATTTTTGTCATTTGTCATTGAAAAAGGCTTTGTTTATTTTGCTCCTGCTCTTCTTTTATGTACAATGCTGATGCTTTTATATGATTTCATCTTTGCGACAGTGCACTTTGAGCATTCCATTTCAAGTAGAATTAGCACCTTACAAATTTTATACATATTTTTTTTAATGATTGTTTTTATTATTAATATTATTATCATTATTATTATTCTAATGATAATTATTATTTCTACTATTATTATTATTATTATTATTTGTAGTAGTTATAGTACCACTACTAATTGGTTCCTTTGCATCTTTGTATGTTTTAACAGTATAGAGAACCGATTGGAGAGACTGGAGCAGAGTCTCAGAGCTTTCTTGCTGAGGCTTAATACATGTGATGCAGTGCTCCATTCACTCCCGCAAGGTGAGAGAGAGAAAGTTTGTTTGTGGTAGTACTCTAAAGTTGCGATTCATTGCAAGTTGCGAAATTTGCAACTGATATTTGCAATCGATCGCAACCCAACTTTCCTGCAACGCCCCCCTAGTCTTCTAAATTTCCTAGAATTTGGTTAGGATTTAAGTTTTTAAAATTAAATTAAGTTAACTAGATCTAGCTTTTGTTCTCCCCCCCCCCCCCTCTCTCTCTCTCTCTCTCTCTTTCTCTCTCTCACTCTCTTACTAATGGGGCGTTGCAAAAAAGTTGAGTTGCAATCAATTGCAAATTTGCAATTAATTGCAAGACTTACGCTTGATTTGGGGGATTTGCAATTGATTGCAACTTTCTTGCAACGCACCATTAGTGTTGCTGGGTATCTTAATCAAATACACTTTGCACTGAGAGCCCCGGCCCCCCCCCCCCCCCCCACTCCGTGAACGGAGGGACACCATGCATGTTCCCAAACTCGCCGGCTCGTAACAAAAGAAAAAAGTCTACCCCTATTGACTTTACACACCTTTTGCTGAATATTGTTTCAACGTTTTATTCCTTTCTTTTCTTCAAGATTGCACATTCTCCATACTAGTTTATACAAAGGGATCTGCAACAATGGAGTCACATGACAAGCAAGTACTACAGGTAGGAATCTGATTTGATCTGATTGATTTGATCTGATCTGATCTGGTGATTTGATTTGATTGAAGTGAAATGATTTGATTTGATCTACCATAAGTGATTTGATTTGAGTAGATCTCATTGATTTTATGTGATCTGAGTGATTAAATTTAATCTGGTTCAACTGATGTGATTTGATTTGATCTGAGTGATTTTATTTGATCTGATTCAATTGATGTGATCTGATTAATTTGACTTGATTTCATGTGATCTGATTCAATCATTTTCATTTCATTTTCTCTAATTGATTTAATCTGATCTGATCTGATTGACTTGATTTTATTTGATCTGATTGAAATGAAATTTGATTTGATTAGATCTCATTGATTTGATTTGATGTGATCTTATTTTATTTAATCTGATTCAATTGATGTGATTTGATTTGATATGATGTCATTGAATTAATTTGATGTGATCTGACTAATTTGACTTGATTTGATCTGATTCAATCAGTTGGATTTTATTTGCTCTGATTGATTTAATCTGATCTGATCTGAATGAATTGATTTGATTTGATTGAATTCATCTGATTGATTTCATTTCATTCCATTTGATCTGATTGATTTAATTTTATTTGACTTGATTGAGTCTTATTTGAGTTTCATTTTCTTAAAGGGTGGCCCAACAGACAACAGAACATAACTATCGTTCTTCCTGAGGGCCTTGAGTAAAAATCAACTTACATTGAAAATCAATAGTAATTTAATGATAATGATATTCCTTGTTGTTTTCATGATATTGATCACAGAAATTTAATATTGATAGAATGCATATTATTTATCCTGAACAGTTGTATCGCCAACCTCATGTCTTAGTGTATCTGTATATGTCTTTTGTCTTGTCTTAGTATATCTGTAAAGCTCTAAGAGACATCATAGATGTATTAAGTGCTATATATAAGCGGAATTATTATTATTATTATTATTATTATTAGTGGATTAAAGGCAGCAAATGAATGATAATCTTGATGACCTTTATACATTTTCTGTATGGAGCTAGAAAGGCAATTGGTCATAAACTTTGATACAAAGTTAACTCCCTTCCTGCTCTGAATAGACAATAAGCCAGGCCTAAACAAAAAGATGTTGTATTGCCCTTTGCGACGGACTCAAAATCTTGAAATCTACAGTTGGCTTTTTTTTTAAAGTTTCGTTTGTTCTTACCGTTTTTTTAGAGAGAAAACAAATATTTAAGCATTCAAAACTGATAAATATCAGCCCGAAAAGGGAGAGAAAAAAAATCAGACCGACCGACCCATGTTTTGGCACCTAAAGGGGCAATACAACATCTTTCTCTTTTTTTAGGCCAAAGGGCGTGTAATGTCATACTGTGACACTGCTAATATAAAATTATCTTATATTCAATTTAATTTGTTTTATCAAGGAGTTTCCATGGATAGAGGCTGATGATCATATCTGTAAGATGGAGAATTCAACTCTTGTTCCACTCAAAGCCGTCTCATCGGATCTCTTGAAGGTATGCATATAAACCAGGGGGGTGTTTCACAAAGATCCTAAGTCAAACTTATCTCTAAGTTGGACTTAACAATTATGGAAGGCAGTAAGCATCTATGAAAATATTTTGTAACAGTTATTTTAAAAGTCATAAAATGTTGATTCAAATCATTCATATTTTCTATTATCAAGGAGATTTTATGTTCTTGATGTGGAATTTATAAAAATTATAAAATACTTGAGTTTTCGCTTTTGAATATTTTTTATTTTAAGGCTACAAATGGCTCTCCATAATGTTAAAGTCCAACTTTGAGTTAAGTTTGACTTAGGATCTTTGTGAAACACCCCCCTGATCACCTTTAAATATTAGCAATCATAATATTTGATATTTGTATAGTGCTCATTTCCAATACCCAAGGTGCTCGAGGCGCTCCAAAATTTCCCCCATCTCTAGCTTGGCTACCGATTTCAGTGCTAACGGCATTCAAGGAATTTCTTCCTACCAGTACCCATTTAACACCTGGGTGAAGAGTGGCGATTGAAGATTAATGTCTTAGTAAAGGACACTAGTGCCACACTGGGACTTGAACTCCTGACCTTCTCATCTACTGCCAAGAGTTCAAGCTGCTTGACTATGGCACTTCTTCCTATGACTCTACTCAGACCAGGGGGTTTTCACAAAGATCCTAAGTAGAACTTAACACTAAGTGGGACATAAAATTATGGACAGCCATTGGAGCCTTAAAGGCCCACTGCACTACTTGTAGCTACTTGCGCCCTCTATATAACAACCAAAGCCTAATCGGTGACCATTGGTCCCCCATGATCCTCTTTTTCTTATGTTAACTGAGAGCTGAGTTGATGAGATAACCACTTGTCCAGTGACCTTGCAGAGCGCTCTAATCCCTCCTGTAAACTATGGCATATAAGCTTTAAAATGAAATATATTCAAGAGCAGAAATTCAAGTATTTTAGACTTTTTATAAATTCCACATCCAGAACATGAAATCTCCTTGATGATAGAAAATATGAATGATTTGAATCAACATTTTATGCCTTTTCAAATTTCTTTTACAAAATATTTTCAAAGATGCTAATGGCTTTCCATAATTTGTAAGTCCAACTTAGAGATAAGTTCAACTTAGGATCTTTGTGAAACACCCCCCTGCCAACCAGTACCATTTTTAGAAGCAACTAGGACAGTACGATTTTCCTCAATAAAATATAATTTTAAAAACAAACAAAAAAAACCCAAAAATTGTTGTTGCTGTTGTTGTATTTGTGTGTGTGTTAGCCATTTTCAATGGCAAAATGTCCATTCTGTCCTGTGAAGTATCCTACAAGCATCTCACATCTGCAATTTGGGAATGTTCATTTTTTCATCAAACACAACAGTAGTGACAAAATCATGCATCTTCAACCAATTTCTTCCTTTATGTAGGAACTGTAAGAGGCATTGATCCATGTAAAATTCCATGATTATTTTTAAGAATACAACTTTGGGGATTAAAGAATACAGTTTTTGAACTCCAGAGGTTGGCAGGTGTGTGTACTTCAATACTTGCAGAGTTCCCATCTATCCTGAAAATAGGGAAAACATTGAAACTTTGTGAGGGAGTGAGAGAGAATCAATAAAAGTCTATACTTGGGCCTTACCGTCGAGTTAACAGTTTGCAGACATGTTTCGTCAATAGATGAGATGAGTGTATTATCATGGGTGTGATTTCATTGATTCCTTTATCTTTCCCTTTTCTGTAGATGCAGCTCTACGTTGAAGAAGCCCCATCTAAACTGGAGGTCAGGTGACACCAAGTACTGTGGTCAGGTGACACTAAGTGCTGTGGTCAGGTGACACCAAGTGCTGTGTGTGTATTGTAGAGGACATTCCTCCCAGGAAGTGAATTATTATTCTGCTTCCTGACCAAATGAAAGGGGACCAATCACGTAGTTAAATAATTTGTGTACAGCTAGTATATATAAAATACACCCCACCCCCTCCCCGACAGAAATATAAGACAAATTACTTGACATTCTATGGGTGAAGGAGTATTAATGAGCATGAAGAAATTGAATGGATATGATGTAAACCCTGCACACAGAACCCCAGTCCTTTCACATGTATGCATGTAGGGTTGCTGTTGATTAAATCTACCCACAAGACACTTTTACCTTCATTGAGAGTGTTTGTATACGCACTCATAACTTTGCAATTTCTGTCTTTACAGAATTAATATTTGAAGTTGATATTTTGAATATACTGTATTGGCATGAACCCCAAAATATTAAGAGCAAAATATGTATTTTTATTTTTAGTGTGATTGGTTCCCTTTTGTCGTCTTTCAATTTTATAACTCATTATTTTGTGTAGTATAGAGCAAGGATATTCTGTTACATGTATATGTAATTGGGGGTATTAAATGCAAAATATGCAGGTGGTTCAAGGCAGCCAAGACAAAGGAGTCATCGACTCTTGTAAAACCAGAAAACAAATTTTGCTAGCGTGTCATATTTCATGACTCACAACTGGCAAACACTTGCAAATTGCGAAAGTTCCTTTTTGCAAAATACGATCGCTTTGAAATTCTCATAAATGGCCGGGGGCCCGTCGCAGAAATAGTTGCCATTGATGGTAAAGTTACCATCAATGGCAACTACCATGGTAACAGGACTCAACAGCCAATCAAAATCAAGGTTTCCATGGTAGTTACCATCGATGGCAAAGTTACCACCAATGGTAAGTTTTGTGCAAAGGGGCCCAGATGTTTACCAATATGCAAAAAGTTTCGTGTCACCAGAGTTTCTGGGTTTACTTCAAACTCTTCCCCTATTGTCCATCTATTCTTCCAAATCTATCGTCATCTGTGTCCTCTTCTCACTATTCCATTGTCATCTTTTATATCTTTCTTCTTATTCTTCCTTTTCTAGGTAATAATCTACAATACAAAATACAGTATATGGTTACCTCTTGATAGTAATAGAGATTTTGTAACCACTTTATGCATTTTTTATGTTCTGAAATATATGTATATACTTGGTATTATATTTTGTCAAAAGTTTAAATACGCAAATGTGGGTAGAGAGGAGAAAATGGAGAAAGTGGGTACCAGATTGTCTTTCATCATGGTTTTCTCTTTCCAACTGTTGAATATTATTTTCCTTTATGTGTCTGTACAGTCTGAACATTGCCAGAGATTTTTGTTTCTTTTTTTATCAAGTGCCAGAAAGATTTATACACGGTTGACAATGAAGACTAGAGATGTATGTATGCTATAGTGTTCTATGATAGCTTTTGTTTATAAATTGGTAAAGTTTGACATTCAAACCAGATGCATGTATAAATAGGGTATTGTTGTCATATTAAAGCTTTAAACGTGCACCTGAAGTTGTCATGCAACCCAAATTTTCTAAAATATAATTCAATAATAATAATATGCTAATATGATATAAATATATGTATATAACAATGAACAATAATAGTTCCTAACCCTTATTCATATCACAATGCACTCTCTCCTTCAGAGTCATTCTTTAGCCCCGGTACATCCAAAAAGGGAGGGGGGCATGGGCAGAACCCCCCCCCCCCCCCAACCTGTAATGACATTGTCAAAAAACTTAATCTAATGTTTATCAATATATGAAGAGGTGGCATTAATATGGTCTTCAGATATTTTCTGAATGAGATGGCAGCTCTCTTTTCCATAGCCGTGTTACAGGATCTTGTAGCTAATAGTCAATAGGTCAAAGGGCAAAGTTATTTTAATTATGTCGCAGCCAGCCCTTGATTCCCTTCCTTTTTTAGATCTTGGCTGCAGAACAATTATGAATAGTGAAAAATGTTGTAGTTAAGAAATAATACATTATAGCCTTTAATGAAGAGGCATTCTTATAATGCCACATGAAATTACAATCAGTAAAATTAGAGTTATCTTTAATCAAAATGGAATTCTGTAATTTGTGCTAAAAGTAATGCAAGTGATTTTCTCATATGCCTACTTTGTAAATGTCACGTAGGTCAATTCTGCATCTCTTCCTCTTTTCATACGATGTCATAATGAGAATGTTTCTTTACAAACAGTTAAATAAAAGAGAGGATTTCAATGAATGAATCTGTACTTACTCATATTTTGAAGAGTTCTAAAGAAAAGCTTTATAATGTAGCATTGTTCTCCATATGTTATGAATGCTATGTATTCATTTTAAAACTATACATGTTGATTGTGTCAGAGTACTGGCATGTATGTTTATCTTTACAAAAAATTAAAAGTTTCTGTTATATTTTTATTCTATGTCTTCCAAGAATCAGTTATAAAAAGCTGTTTGTATATTCAAGAATATATAATAAAAAATGCTTCTTGAAAATGACTTTGTTGTGTTCCCAGCCTTTTGAATGTTGATGTCTATACATGTACATGTAGCTCATTCTTCTTTTACACGAGCTCCCAAGTTGGTAACCTGGTAAATTCGTTCAGAATGCTCCTTTTTAAAAACTAAACATTTGTTTGTAGTCAACAGGGATTTTGGGAAATTCTACATGTTTACTTTTTCCAAAATATTGACCATGAGGCAGATATATTTTTTACACCGATGGAAGCAGAAAAATGAGATAAACAGAGCTACAAACATTTGAAATAAACCGTACCAAAATATGAGAATTATGAATGTTTGAAATATGAAATCTATATAGTTGTGCGAGTCTCAAATGGCAATTTTGTCGGTGAATTGCGACGTAGTCATGGACAACTCGTTTTTTGTGTACAAAATTATCACTAGTTACTGTTTTTCTCCTAAATGCTCTCTCCCGTCAGGCACTACTCTAAATATATAAAAAGGAGGGACCCTCTTGAGTCGTACATTTTGTTTGAAAACTTATAATTGTAGTCATTTTGTGTGTTAGAGCAAACTGGAAAGTTGTCTGACACTATCACAGTGATATTACCGATTCAGCCAATTTGAAGTTCCCATACGTGATTACAACTTTCAACTTTTTGTGTCCGATTTCAGTTGAAACTTTCACCAGCCTGCTTTCTGATTTGTCTTCTTTCTTATAGAGTAGTTTTCTTTCATGGTTGGATTTCCATTTATTTCTGGTAGTGGGATCTCTTTTTTTTTTCTTCACTTCTCAGTTCTCGGTATCCATCTTTTACCACCCATTTACGTCCATCTCTGTTTGCCTTACCTTTGCCTTCTCATCTCTCTCTCTCTTTCTCTTTCTCTCTCTCTCATTCTCTCCCCTCTCTATAAACTCACTTACATTGAACTAATGCTTTACATAGTTTTTCCAATGACCGGGGTAATAGTATATATTTGTAAAGCGCTTAGAGACATTTGTACTAAGCGCTATATAAAAATTAAATATTATTATTATTATTATCTTTCATCATTTTACTCTGCCATCCCGATCCCGTTTTCCCCCTTCTCATCTCTCCTCTCTCCCTCTCACTTACTCTTCAGTCTTCTCTATCACTGCCCCTTCCTTGATTAGCATGCAGAGATCCAATGATGATCTCAAAATATTTGCTCCTGGCAATTATAATAATAGTAGTAGTACATGTACCTCGTAATAACAAAATAATAATATTGATAATAGTCACAGTGATTCAGCTCTTAATACTAGGTTTCTAAGCGCTTTACATTGTAAGTATTATTACCCCAGTCATTGGATTCAGTAGCTAATCTGCACCTCAATCCAAACCTCACTTTCATGTCACATGTTTGTGTAGTCCCATGTCCACATTCCTGTGTACAGTGCATGTGACTTTTATCAAGACTGGGTCATCAATCTCACAGTATATACACCAATACATATGTACCACATCATCAACCTTTTCCAATCGCTTCTACAGTTTCTTTCACAATGCAATTGCAGGACCAAAACCAGACTTAAACTTAGCAGATTTCCACTTTATGTAAATATTCCATAACCAGTGCATTCACAAATTATTGTGGTATTGGAGCAAGCAAGCACAATAAATCACACATTTAGGACACGTTTTCTGTACAGAGTAAGTACAATTTTTTTTAATTGCAATAAACCCATATATGCTGTTTAAACCATACTCATGGCTTTATGACACCGATAAGGAAAACAACATCCAAGAAGAAGCAAAAAATGTTACATGATGAATTATCTTTTTACATGTATACAGTCATATTTTTTTCTTTTAACATGGCAGGAAATATCAATATTTGTATCTGTATCATCTGACTTTGTAAAGGTTTTACACTTTGTACAATCCGAACGGGCAAAGTACCACACTCGTATACAACTCTCACTCGCTCACGCACTAAAAATAGACTCTTTCACACAGACGGACAGGGACAGACAGACAAACATACATACATACATTACGATGCAGGCACACACTTTTGATCTTCTGCCTACAAAATACTGCGGAACCCAGTTTTTTCTTCCTCGTTTCGTTTTATAGGCACAAGTTTTCATTATTGTTGAGATAAATGAAGATAACACTTTTATAACGTGACCGCTCAAAATACCATCTACGTGAAACATTCCTCGCCGCTCTACCCTATGTTCTTAATCAATGAAGCCGCGAGGACTCGGAACATCTACAGAACGTGAATAAGATTCATGCTTCCTAATATGATCCCATAGGCAATACTTGAGTTACATGGACAAATAGTTATCGAATTGTTAATTCAAAATTTGAAGATATACATGTGAAAAACTACACAAAATTTTCATAGATACTTCAGAGGAAAATTTCATTCTAAAGAGAAGAAAAATCATAAAATTTCGGGAAAATAAGAAATTAGAAAACTATTAAAAAGGTATACATTTTGAACTGTTGAAGGGGTGCCCATCTGTGCAAGAGTTAGACCCGACAACAATGGGCCCCTGTGCACTGAGATACGCATAGCTTCCTGTGAGAAACACAAGCTTTGTACATACAACCTTTTGTTTCTCAGAGGAAGTTGCGCACAAAGGCAAGACAATGAGAATAGTTTGGTATGTGCGGGATCGTAGTAAATAACTATGTCAGTAAATTACAATACTCTACAGAATCAAAACACTACAAAGCAACTTTAATTTAGAATTGTCAGCAGAACAATGCGAGAAACGATGAAAGAAACAACGTGAAGAGAAAGGAAGCAATAATAACTAAATACTGTTCAGGCAAAACCAAAGATAAATTGTACAAAATAGAGAAAGGTAATGATATGTTATTTCTACATCAGAACATGTGCAACTCGATGTTAGTAACTGGATACAAGGTATTGATATGTTATTTCAAGATCTGCTTCACAAACGATTCACATAATGTTTACAAAGTCATGGACAGGTTCAACAATTATTTAATGTACAGTAAAAGGCCAAAGTCACATAAGGAAAGTTAGTGAGTGTGGATAGTCATTTTTTTTTTAATAGATCAGCTGATGAGAAACAGAAGGGCGCTATTGACTCACATCTAGTCACATCCTTAAACAATCGAGTTATGACGTTTTGGCTCCAGCAGAGCATAAACATGCATCTCATGGTATCTCAACATGAGCAAACTCCCATTAAGTTGTCAGCTGAGAAACAGAAGGGCATTTAATCATATCCCCAATATTGAGTTAATGCCCTTTTGTCTCCCATCCGAGGATATATCCCATCTTTACAAGCAAATCTCATCAATTTTCTGATCTTTGTCATTTTTTTCATTTTTATTTTTTCACCCTCCATTTCATGTTACAGAGCCAGAAGTACATTAACTTCATTTTAAAGGATATGAGTTAAGGCCTTTCTGGCTCTAAAACATATGAACTCTTTCTCTCATTCTGTGAATACAAGAAGAGTTGAAAGCTAACTCTACTAGCTCCCTTGGCGACTGGCTAGCATTTTGTCTGTTTGGAGCCAGAAGGGCGTCGACTCATTACACTTCGACACAGGGTCGACGCCCTTCTGGCTCTCAACAGATGACTTAGAGAAGTATTGTGACCTTGAGTTGACCTTGTATATACAGCCTCAACATGAGACAGAACCATGCATTGCAACTTCACAACCCCCCCCCCCCCCAAAAAAAAAAAAATAAATAAATAAATAAATAAATAAAATAAAAAAATTAAAAATAAAAAAAATTAAAAAAATTTTAAAAAATAAATAAAAAAATTAATAAATAAAAAAAAAAAATCATCCCTATTAGGTTGTGTTCCCACTGGCAGTGGTAACCCACCTTATTAGATGCCTTCTGTGAAATGATTTATCACCGTAAGACGTGTGAACAAGCCCATGACACACAATATTTCACCACAAATTGAAATATCATGTATGATAATAATATATGTACCTGTATAATATAAAATGTTTCTGACTAGCACAAGAAAAAGGAAAAAAAAAAGATCTACAATGATCATTAAACCCACAGCAGCAACATTAGGCTAAGTAAAATAACAAAGCAGTACTTTTAGTGCGCTAATGCTAAATCTTGCATCGTAGTTGTATCTTGGAAACCAAAGATTTGTTTAGAAAGACTCGAGATTTGTTGCACCCGAAGGTACTGGAACAAAAAGACGGACAAGAATACTGAGAGAGAAAAAATGGGATACTTCCAGGGCTGGAAAATTGATTTCTTTACTGGGTCACTACTTAGAATACACAGGAGCAACAGGCATATTTACCAATTACCATCAATTACTATTCAAGCATTCCCAAAGTACGAGCAACTCTAAAGCAGTAAAAAAAAAAATATTTGAAAACTGTTGCTGAAATAGAACTATTTTAAACGTGGCCCTTATTTAGCGTATAGCAATTAAATTAGTTCTTTCAGTTGCTGTTTTCAAGACTTTTTCATTCTGGAAGATTACTTTAGACAGCAAAATCCAGTGGGCTCATCAATAGATATCTGGTGCTATATATATGCAGGGAGGGTCTTGTCTTTCTGTTTTTAGTTGGTCAAGCATACGTTAGTTTTGACATTTTCAGGTATCGGCATTTCTGAAATTCAGTTCGGTGCCCTGTTACATAAAAATCGTTATCACTAACAAATGCCGAATTTCTATGACAAATTTGCTCTCAACCGATCAAATGCCAGGATTCCAGTAGCTTAAAACAGGTACTGTAATTTATTAATGATAACATATTTTATGAAACAGGGCCTGGATACTTCACCCTTGTTTAATCTCACCAGTAACACTGTCTAATACTCCATACATATAACCAAGCTTTCTTGGCTGTGGTAGTCAAATGGAAAACAGAATTCTAGGCCTTTTACTCTCATTCATACCAGTAAAGAACAAAGTCCATTCCAGCCCTGGGAATATCGAACATGAATCAACAATTTTCAAAATTATAGAATACAATTATCTTCATGCCTTAGTGGTTCTATTCAATTAAAGCTCTTCATATTTTCTATTTTTTAGGC